CGAAAAAAGGTGCGTATAACCTGTCTAATAAAAGCCCAAGTCTATCTGCACCATAGTTTTCTTTCGGCTTCAGGACCGGCATGCACTTCAGAATGTTCTGGAAGCTTGCCATTGTGGACAGTATGCATTTTGTAATTTACGTAATCTTTGTTTACTACGCACCGGAATAATATTATGGTTTTAGGCATGCGTTGTAGGAGTTTAACGATTCAAGGTCATTCGGTTATTTGCGCAGTTGCCGCAAACGATGTACCTACCTACATAGCACGTAGATGAATAAAGTATTTTTCTGCTAGGGTGTACCTCATCTCATCTCCTGGTGCAGTTTTGCTGCGCTAATGTTAGGACAGGTCGGTAAAGTAGTTGAATGACTCGTTACGCAATAGTATGGCGTGCGTTCGATAAACAACTTTCGACATTGAAGGCCATGTTATTCTATTGCTGATTTCTCGAATGGAAACGGCATACTTTTTTATATTTACGTTTCAGTCAGAATAAAAACTCGTTTATAATCTTAAAGACTGTAAAAGAGTGATTCTATAGGAAACGGCGTGCCTGTAAATGTCAAGGTCACGCGTGTTGATCCTATGTTTTTGTAAAAAATGTAATCCAAGTACTGAAAATCTGTAATTGGTTGATTGAAATCCTTATTCACAATGTATTTTTCTCATTGATATTAGTGGTGATTTAACTTTTCAATTTTAAAAAGGCATAAGTATTGAATTTTCTGCTTTCCTCAAAACATCATTGATAAAATTTTAATATAATTTATGTTTCTATTTTTTGACTTTAAAAATTTCGTTTACCACATCAGTGATTTGTTATCATTCTGTGTCTTATCACATTTCTATCACTATTGTAATCTGATTAAGATTTAAGGACACTTACAACCTATTTATTGTTTTAAACTTTCATGGTCACTAACATTGTAGCTATTAACGGGATTGTCACCGTTTTTCTCATATTTTTTTATGAGTCTTCCATATTTCGGCACTGTTACAAGCGCTATAATCATGGAGTAAGTTACTCCTTTACTATCACATGATCTCTGTGATCATCAAGAAAAATGCAAATTATAAGCATAAACTTGGCCCTGAGATAAAGTAATCATACTTAGAATTCAGGAGTAATGTTATCTACCGGTTTAAGAATTTTCAAAATTTGATAAAAGTAAACTAAAGTTCTATCTTTGAGTGGGTTGGCTGTTGCCTTCTACAATTCAGTAAGATTGAGCTGATTGATTAAAAGTTGACGTCACACAGTAGACATCATCGAACCAAGCTATTGGCGGTAAATTCAAAACCATTAAAAATAAATTAAACTTTAATTGGTTATATATTTGGAGAAAAAAAGACATTAATTAATTTATTTTTCTGTTAAATTGTTTGTCCCAATCTTTAAATATAAGCAGTTTTCAAATTTGGTAAATACCTATTGTTTCTCATTAATAAATTTCTACAATAAAGGAGATTGCTCAGCTTCCATAAATGTTTGGCCTAAAGACCAATAATCATGAAAAATTGTTTCCTAGATTCGAAATTATATATAAATTACTGTAGAAACTAATATTATTGACGGACACCCCTGCAAACTTCTATAAACCATATACACTGAACATATTAAAATAATAAAAAACAAATAAGTTATATAGTAAACTAACAAGTACCGAAATTATGGATTAGATTCAGGTATATAGAGCATGTAGATTAACAGATAGTTGCCTGTTTTTAAAGTTAATGCATAAGAGTAACTTTTAAAATCAGGTGTCATTTCCGGTTATAATAAGGTACTCTGTGACAGAAACTGTGTGATGATTGTGAATGAGCCACAGATTAGAGAGCATTTTTATACTCTCGTTAACCAAAGAAAGCTAAGAGATTTAGGTTCTATAGCCATATATTCAGTAGCTTCATTATTTTTGTTATGTTTTTAAGATAACCATATTTTACATTTTTAGTGTATCACATCTTATAATTTTATTTATTTATTAATTTATAGTCAGGCAACGTAGGCCCGTAGACCTTAAAGTCTAACATGTAAACAGATTATAATCTGTTTATGGAGGTGTTTGGCGAAAAATGTATGGCAATAGACTTTATAATGTCGCCTACCATCTATAATAATTGTCTGAGCACATTTGCATGTAGTGAAAATGATAATATAGTTGTGGATATTAATACCACAGTGTAATAAAAAAAATGATTCATTTTATTGATCTTTACAAAATAGATTTGTTTTTATGTTATATAAACAACTTCGATGAGTCTTTGGCTGAATGTTACTACACCCATAGCCATTAAAAAGGATTCCATACTGGTAAAATTAAAAGTCCTTTTTAAAGTAAATCTATTACACAAAGGTGTCCATTGAAATCTAATGACTGTAAATTAAATTATAAATTACGCCAAGAATTACCGTGTATGTCAATATTTTTTGTGCATTTGGGCCAATTTGAGCAATCTCCTTTGCGACAGTCTTTCAAGTTTGACTCACTATAACCATTTTCCTGAAATTAAAGCAGGAAGGGAAACCGCAGGGGACCTCTAGTCATACTATAAAAGACAATTCAATCTATTTTAATACAATCATTTTTTGTTTTGGATCATAAAATAGATAACGTAATATGTACCGAGTTTGTATTGATAACCTGCAGACATTTTTCCACTTTTAGTTCACCAATTCAGCAAGACAGTAATCTTTCCTTGGCTTTATCTTAAACAAATATTGTTATCAAAAGAGCAACAATGTTTACCACATTGGTTATGTGGATTATCAGTGTTGAAGCATATCAAAACTGTTTGAAAATGGTTTCTATTTTTAATAAATATACAACAGTTTTTATGAATAGAGCATGTTATTCAAAAAAACTTCTTCATGTTTCAGGTGCTTTTCACTAAAATTCTGTACACATTTGACATTGACATTTCTCACTCACAAACTAATCCAATTCAATATTGGTTTGTGCTAAGAATACAGTACTCATGGGTACCCACAGCCTCATTTGCTAGTATTATTGTCTCAAAAATTTAACAAAATGTATTATTTCAATTAAATGTTGCAACATCAAGATAATAAGAAAATAATGTCCTGAAATTATATAAAACGTATAAAATACGCAGCCCTTGGGTTGTCTATTATTTACCTGCCTGAACTACTGGGTTGCAAGGAATAAAACAGGTATATCGATACCTCAAAGGAGGACGGGTAGGAGAGGACGGCGGCGCGCCCTGGCTGCGCCCGTCTCATGACCCTACCCGGGGGGTCCCTCACTGACCGGCATGGCGTAAGCTGTGCCGGCCACCGACGGATCCCGTGACGGCAGCCCCCTCTTGTAGTTCTGTCCTGCAAAGAGGGGGCGGAGGAGGGAGCTACACGGGCACACCCAAGTAGCTCTCCGCAGCGGACGGGGGTGGTACGGTGGGCACTAGGCCGAGTATTCAGCCCCCACGCGCGCGCCATCCTGCGCACATCTGCGGGGTCCCCGCGATATCCCGGGACACTCCTGCCGTGGAGCCCCGGCTAGGTCGGGAGGCTGCTGGGTGCGGGGACGCGGAGAATCCCTAAACGGGGATCCCGCGGCGGATCCTGGTCTTCGCACTAAGAAGCTTAGAGGGTATTCGCAGGGTTTTTTATCGGATATTATGCCGTAATGCGCCCGTAAGAGTTGCGGGGGCCCGTAAGGCTTGCGGGAGCTAGGTGTGAGGTCCGTTCGGCGGTGTGGCTCTTAAAGGCGCCGTCGTCTGTAAACAGAGGTTTTGCCTGCGTTACAAAAAAAAAGTATGTCGATGCCAGTTACATGGCTGCACATTCTATACGTTTTATACTTTAAGTTAGGGCAGCATTTTCTTATTATCTTGATCTAGCAACATGATTTTTAAAAAACATTTCTTTTAATAATTAAAAATAGTCTGTCCAGCATTTTTTTAGGCTACCCTTTTTTAATATATTTTGTAATATACTAAACTCATGATAAAATATGTTTCATTCTATTATCAGCTCAGTAAAGGTCGATGTAGGTTCGGATCTTCTACTACTACTACGTACCACTATAATCTTTTTCAAATTAATAATTAATTCCGATGAAACCGCAGGGCACCTGTAGTCCATATATTAATTATAGTTTTATGCTACTGCGGCTTATTACTGAGCCTACCTAATGTTGCAATACTAAAAATACACTATTTTTAGTAAACAAAGATTATTTAAAGTATCTATTTTCGTATGATGTTTTTGTCACTATAATAACAAGTTTAGCACTGCGATAACGCCTGTCCTGTGTTTATGAAGATAACATGAGTATTCAATTCTGTGCTGATGATTTTTCAACATACTACTATGTTACACTGAAAGTTATATAAATAGTCTACTTCCTACAGGCGAGTGGTATAATGAGATACTGGTACAGTCCAGGGGGCCAATCGCCTAACGGAAATGCTTTGGAAAACGCTAACGCTTTCGATTTTATTTTGTTATTTCTGACCGCCGAAGGTTTTCAAGTACCTCACGCTAATTTTTTGTTATAATTGTTATTACCAATGCAAAATAAAAAAAAAGAGCGCGAGGCATTTGAAAACCTCAGGTGGCTAGAATTAACAAAATGAAATCGTAAGCGTTAGCGTTTTCCAAAGCATTTCCGTTAGGCGAATGGCCCCCTGGTCCAGGATTATTTTTCTTCATTGATTAAGGACATCTGCAATCATCATAATCTTCCGATGGACGTCCACTACTGAACATAGGTCACCTCTAGGTAGGGCTGCCATCGGTCCGGGTTTTCCCGGATTTGTCCTAGTTTACGGGGCGTCCGGGGAGAGTCCGGGCGGGGTTTTATTTGTAGTCCGGGTTTAAAAATTTATGGCAACGCATGAATGGCCCTTGGTGCTGCAAGTGTCCATGGGCAGCAGTGACCACTTATTATGAGGTAGACCGCTAGCTCTTTTGCCTAGATCATCATAAAAAAGTTGATTTGTGATAATTTTAACTGTTTTTTTATTGATCTGTCCAGGTTCTGGGCTCCAAAATCCGGGGTTATCACGCGTCTTATCCTGGTTGCCACATTTGAGAGATGGCAGCCCTACCTCTAGGGATCTCTCAACCGCAACGATCCTGTGCTCTCCCCATCCAGTGGGCCCCCCTAACTCGCTTGATGTCGTCAGTCCACCTCGAGAGGGATCTACCGACACTGCACTTCCCAGTGCGAGGTCGTCATTAAAGCACCTTGGTTCGCCGAACTATGTGCTCCACCCATTACCACTTCAGCTTGGCGATCCGTTGAGCTATGTCGGTTGTTCTAGTTCTTCTACGGTTTTCCTCATTCCTGACTCGATCACGACAGAGCACGGACGTGTAGGGAGACACTAATTATAGCTCTCTCCATCACTCGCTGAGCGACTCGGAGCCTTCTAATGAGGTCTATAGTCAACGACCACGTCTCAGCTCGTCATCACTGGCAACACGCACTGTTCCAAGACCTTGGTCTTCGACACTGAGGTATTCTTGACTATCTGCAATATGGACAGATATTTTTTATTTTCTTATTAAAGGGGTGGTGCCCATGTTTCATTCATTTTTGTATATTACACACTTGTTATTATTATATACATCCACACTTGAGCCGTGCAGCTGCGCATACAAGCGTGATGTGGATGGTTTTTGCGGCTTTACGCGCGTTTGCGCCTGTTCCCCGATCGGTGTAGGTATTCTGTACCCTTAGCACGAACTATTATCGAATTCGATTAGTTTGCAAACCGAAATGTCAATGTAAAATTTTGTATGGAAACTTGAACAGCACCGGCACAAAGTACGTAACGAGAACTAAAAATTAGTACACATTTGACAATGACATTTCTTACTCGCAAACGTTACGAATTCGATATTGGTTCGTGCTAAGGGTATTGATCCTCAACATAGGGTGCACAAGCAGCAACTTCAAGTCCATTTCGCGGCAGGTTACATTCACGAATGTGTGAGCCGTGAATCTCGCCTCTACACTTATGCCGTGAAGCTCCGCTAAAAAGCATGAACGTGGATGTGGATTATTTTCTTGGCTTCAAGCGCTTTCGATGTAGAGAATCATCCATCACGACTGATATGAATTCGCGCCATTATTTTACGGCATTAGTTTGTAGGCGGCACTTATATACCAACTTAGATTATGTGTACCAAATCTGTTGGTCTGTACACTAGTTTTTAAGGTATTGTCTGCTCAGAATTTCGAATCCTGGTGGGGCAAATGTATCCCATATCTAGTGTTGCCAGGTGTCCCGATTTGCGCGGGACGTTCCGATTTTCAGGGGTCAGGGGACGTGTCCCGATTTGTACCTGATCGGGAACCTAAATGTCCCGATTGATCGATAAAATTTAGGTAATTAATATAATGCACTGGTAGCTTAAAACGCAATTAATTAAAGTTTTTTATTTACTGTCCCGATCTGCAACCCTAAATCCCGATTTAAAACAAGTCGGACCTGGCAACCCATATCCCACACTAATAAATTGGTGTGAAAGCAAGAAAATGACACGTACTTTCATTGACAGGTGGGGCCGGCGGCAAGGGCGTCTGGGGCGCCCCAGGGTCGGAGCTGCTGGAGGAGTTCGTCGAGGACGCCAACGACCCCAACTACGACTCCGAGGCCGTCACCAACGGGGATGTGGAGTTCAAGCAGGTCATCGTGGAAGCGGAGCCCGAGGAGATTGTGGTGAGTCTTGAAATTGATCAACTTTTGCAATGGCCAGTCATAATGATGAACAAATTGTTTTCTCAAGCATTTCCTGCTGCGGAAGGCTCGTTAAGGCGTATAAGGCTGCATCTGCAATCGTTAGCACCCGTCAATCAGCAGTCTGCCCGCGTGGTAGATGAGTCATAGCCCGTTGTCCTTGCTCTCCTCTTTCTCTTAATGTTCCATTCTTTCCCTTAGCAGTATCCTCCCGGGCTGAGAGTGGTAGTTTGTCTTATCAGCTCTCTAAAAAAGAGAGCACTACAAGTGTGCAGCCTTCATCTACCCACAATTCATAAAGAGGTGTATTTAGTGTAGGGCAATGGTATTTCAAGCCAGAGCATTGCCCCGTAATGCCCCCCTACCTACAGCCTGCCAAGGGAAGGCATATTACGTTCCGTGCCGGTGTATCTAAAGTCGTTGACACCCACCAATCGGCACTGTGGCTGCGTGGTTAGTTATGCCTTGTGCTTGTGCCCCAGCAGTGGGAACACCTCAAACTATTAAGTGCGTTGATGGGCTTAATTTAATTTTGGAATGTGTCAGCATTCGCTAACTAAACATAAGTCAGCCAGGGTCAGCGTATGTAGCATTTATTTTTAGAAAGACTAACTTCTTAGCAATCCTTGGATGCACCGTGCAGGTGCCGGGTTTATTGCGGGAGAGAAACTCTGAGCAGTTCCCGGGACTTACCCAGGTGTAAGTTTAAGGAGGCCCCCTTTGAGATGCGCATCAACGCTCACCTTCACTTTTGATAGCAGCCTGTTAGTGCAGCCTTAGTAACTCCAAAAGTGAACTTACTGCAGTTCTCGACAGGCCCAGGTCTTTTAGAAGGTTATAGAGAGATTTTGCTGGTATGACTCTCGCTCCTACTTCTGCCACATTTAAATAAACTAGATAGCCATTTTTAATTAGTCCATTGGTTAGATCGTAATATTTATTCAATTCTATTGTGTGGTCTCTTGAAATGTTAGTATCCACAGTACAGTAAGCTATATAAGTACTATATGTTTGATGTGCCTAGAAAAGAGAAATATGTCCGGCCTGGATGACGAAACACCAATATCCTCTGGTTTTATTAAAGGGTGGCGAATAAGCGTATAGCTATAGACACTTGAAATATAAACAAAATCACTCGCATCATTGCCTTCCCTGACCCAATCCCCCACACCGTGGAGCCCTGGAAGGAGTGACTGACAGATACACAACACCAAAAAGTAGTGTTATTCTCCTGTGATCTTCTTTCTGTAAGGTAAAGGTTAAGCGCTTATTCCACCTGTCTAAATTCAGACGTTCTAAATCATTCATTAACTAATTCAGTCAAGTGAAATAGCATTTAAGAAGTTAGGATCCTAATTAGCATCCTAAATTGGAAGAAGTGTGGCTTCTGATTGACTAAATCATTTAGTATCCTAATTAGAACGCGATTTAGGAAGGTGGAATAGCGTTTAGATGCTTCAGTCGCACCTCAGGTGTCACTGCGTGAGGACGTGTTGTTTTACGATTACGATTTACGCGAGTGTGCGATGTCGGCGGTAAAAGAAAAAGAAGTTATGAGTAATATAATTGAATTGTATAAACATATGCCGTATTTATTTATTTATTTACTCTTTATTGTTATTTACAACAAATGGCGGACTTAATGCCACATGGCATTCTCTCCGTATCTTTGGAACCAAAACGATAAAATAATATTAATATTCTTTCACCCATGTTTTTCGTTTTTTACTTTATTTTATTTCATTGAGCCAATGGCCAGGCCTACGAGAAGACAGATTTTTTGTTGCTTTGACAGGGCTGGAGCAATTACGAAAAAGTCCGACTGCATTAGCCGCGCGCTTGTAACTGACTGATTCAGTAACTAAATTAGTCAAGTGTAATCAGAAGCTTCTAATTAGCCTTATTTTTAGGATCCTAACTAGGACGTCTGACTTTAGTCAGGTGGAATAAGCGCTTTGTTCCCCCAGACGGGAACTCCAATTCGAGCTGAAAATCCGATAAGACTACGTCTCTTAATGCAAGGAGTACCTATTTTGCTTTTACAGAAATATTTTTGTTTCACAATCCCATACTGCTGAGCTTTACATTTCTTACAGTAACTATTAATCTAATATTAGAAAACGGTAATTGATTTTGAAGCAAAATTAAAAATAGATTATTTGACAGTATTAAAAATAAACTATCAATTGTTAGTATCTGTGTTTAGAATGAATTTTGGCAGGGATTTTAACTATTTTTACAAAAAAAAATATTAATAATTTTACTTAAAAACCCACGAAAAAGATAATAGTTAGTTTTCTCATCTATTGTCACGTGACCCAAAATGCTTGGGATTGGCGGAGCCTAAATTGACGTCACACGCAAGTAAACTTCCGGTTAAAGTGACATTACATTGTATCGTTTGACGTTTTAATAACAGTCGTAGGACGTCACACACTAGTAAGACGCCATATTGTCCAGAGAAACGTTTCCGCGGCAACTTTTAATGGAGTTTTTGATATGGTTATTTTTACTGAAATACACAACAGAATGATAAATATCCACTTTTTATGGACCCCAAAAACATTATTCAATAACGTGAGATCGTTTTCTAAAACTTGTCAAATACCCTATTCTAGCGTCAACAAGGTAGAGTGAATGTTGTGTGGGTAAAATATCCGTATATTGATAAACTGTTCTGTTATTATAATATGAAAAACAAAATTCAATGATAATAAAATTGAACAGTTTCAAATCTTTTATTCACAATCACAATGGAATGGAATAAAAATATAGGTCACATCCATTTACAATAAAACTGTTTTGTCGCCTTGTTAAACCTTGTGCTGTATCAACCGAGCGAGGCGAATGCATGCTTCTCTACATCTCCTTTCCATATTGCGCTAGGATTATTCACACCAAAAAATCATTTAGGTACTAATTTCGTTTAAGCCTTTAAACGGGTCGTAATTAGCAAGGCGAACTATTCTTAAAACCTCTCGTGGAGACTTTTTTCTTGAAATGGGTTTGCGGGGGACATTTGAGGTTGTCTGATGTATATTAAAATATTTCAAATGTTTCACAGCTTGGTACACTATCGTTTTTGAGCAATGCAAGTGATCAGCATTGTTTTTATACGACCAATTACGAGCACGCAAGTTTATTATTATTTCTCTAGCAGAAGAGTCGCTAGATTTATTTTTTCCCATTTTAATCAATAGAAAATTTGCAGAAAACCTTTTTTTTCCTAAATGGCTTCGCACGGCTTGTGCATTTAGCCAATGTCAAGTGTTAAAAGTTTACAAATTCTATAGCACTCGTGGCCAAAGTTATAAATCAAGTAAAAGTAAGTAAGTGGCAGTCAAGTCAATCCCCCTTTCCCTATGTTTCAGTAAATGTGTGGGGATTTACTGGAACCTCCCCGTGGATTTTTTGAGGGAACGTCGAAAGACACTTTCCGCTATTTTGTTTCACTTGCCAACACTTGTGCATGTTCCCGAATACTTAGTGGTTAATAATCCAACATTTTTAGACACTTATATCCGCCACAACACAATTTTTAACAAGAAAAACAAAACTGCTAAAGGGACGCTTCCCTATCCCGCCAAAAAGTATTATTCTAACAATAATAGCGCGAAATGCATACCTATTTTTTTAGTTCCAATCTTCCCTTTTGGGAAAGGCAAAGCCATGCGCAGCCATCGTCTTATTTTTGTATTAATCTTCCCTTTTTTACAATAGAATGTGGGTGTGACGCATTCTAATGTTTCTTGGAGTGTTTGGCACAAAATGTATCGAGTCAGCTTTCTCGACAAGCTTCTGTGAAGTAGTCAACAAACTACAATAAAGTTCTCACATCCACCTGACCGATATAGCGAATATTTTAAAGATTCCGTTAATTCTTCAGTTCCGCACACGATTGTAACACAAAATCACACCAATTTTATTTAACAATATTATACTCTCTATTGCATCATATAGTTTCAAAACATATAGTCAAATACATAGTAAGAATATTTTTTATTTATTTATTTAATCTCTATTGCCTTTACACTGCAAATGGCGGACTTAACTCAATATGGCATTCTCTACCAGTCAACCGGAAAGAACATATAATATCCCCATTATTAACGAATTTAAAGAATAATTAAAATATGACGCCAACCGCACTCATGAAATCCCGCCAAAAACCCCTAGACAATGCAATAAAAATAATAAAGACAAAAACCACATTTAATTTTTTAAATGATGGAAAAAATAACAAAATTTTTTCGTTCTGCATTATTTGTCCAGCCAGTATTCCGACAACTTTATGAGTTCCAATGATTTAATAAGTAGACAAATAAGAAGGTACTTACATTATTTCGACGAAACTATTACATGAATAATGCAAATCGGTCATAAGAATATTCTACAATACTAACAGAGTATCTTTAGAAACGAACCATGCACTGAAATTATGGTCATAGTACTGGCTTTTTGAAGTGAAAACTTCTTTAGCTGCGTTGTACACCTTTTTTGTATGGGTAAAAAATGTTAAACTCGCCTCAGGTTAAGCACGTGGGCTGATCGCATCATAACACACAATAAAATTGGAAAGGTTATTGACTATCAATATATTGGACGAAACATAGTAATATTTTATTTTATCGTATTATCATAATCTCTATCTAGGACGTCCACTTGGCAGCTTTATTGCGAAGAAAATGCATTTTTTTACAATAGATGTCGCTAGATGCGCTTAAATGTGATTCATGTAAGTTGATTTCTTTACAATAGATGTCGCTAAGTGCGCTTAAACGTGATTCATGTAAGTTGATTTTTCTGAGAGATATTTTTTTAATGTAATCTATATTGTCATGTTTGTATATTATAGCGCAATAAATAAATATTGTATTCTACCACGTACATGATAGTACTTTTATACTGATAATTAAAGCAATTCGTGCAAAATTATTCCCTAACCATTCCAAAATATCAAAAATGAACAACAAATACTAATT